ATTCGGACAGAAAGTATTTGTTCCAGAAAAAATTAGGGCAAGGATATCCTTAGGCACAAGCGCTTCGAAAAAATAAAATTGGCGAAACGTGGTTGGTAAGCTGATGATGAAGTTTAACCTCAATTCGGACTGCACAATGATTATTGATAAAGTATCTTGTATAGTGAAAAATGTTTCTATAAGAACTTTTATTTTTTCGAAGGGCTTAAGGATACTCTTGCCCTAATTTTTTTCTGAACCAAATGTTCAAGAAACTTATCAGAACTGTCAGTCGACGTAGTTTTTGACACTGAATTCGAATATCACCTCATTTCTGTTATTAAACGCTCGTATGAGGCGTAAAAATGAGATTTAAAAGAAAAATTTCCAGAAACCTTCCAGAAATCCACTGAAAATCGTTTTCAAACTTCGCCATCTATTCAGTATCCTTTAATTTATCGAGCTCTATATTCCAGTGCGCTCGTGAACCAGTGTATTTTACATTTAGAAGAGGCTCAAGTTTTCAAATTCAGAATTTAACTTAAAATTCGAAATTTGGCACTGGAACAAAGTCTTTTTCTTAAAATGTAGCTCGTACAGTTTTGAATCGAATGGTGTACTTAAAATAATTTTACAGACAAAACGTTTTCCTAAACATCATTCTATTAAGTTCCTTGTGTCAAAAGAACATGTTTTCGAGAAATCGTACTTGCGCTCATTTTAAACTTTTTCGAATCCGCCAAAAGAAAGAGCACACCTCGAAACCCTTAAAAACAAAAAAGATTTATTTTTGGTCTAGTCGTTTCGCAGATAGGTTTCTCATGTAACATGGCTATTCTCTACGGTGCAGTAAAATTGAACACGAACAATGACTGGAGTTTTATCAGCAGCCACTGTGATCTTCTTTTAAACCTGCGGAGCTGTACTAGACTTGATTACGTCAAGGAATCGAGTGTCGCAAAATAAGAATTAGATTCTTGGCTTAGGAAGTTCTATTGGCTGCAATCTACTCGAGCTAACAAGGGGATGAGTCTTATCTGTGGCGTCATCCACTACAAGCTGAGAACAAAGGTATGTACTCTCTTACTTTGTTTTGATTGTACGACTATTTGACAAAGATCATCATTGAGCTCATCAGCCACTGTTAAAATGACTGATTGATTTTTTTCACGATACATTGTTTCAATAATTTCACAATCGATACATTGACCTAACGGATCAATTAAACAAAATGAGGATGTTATATTTCTGCCGTCGATGAAACGTTTAACAATGTTCCAAATATCCGTGTCGTTTTTAGCTTCGTAATTAAATAGATCAGATTTATAATGAATACTGACTTTTATTAATATTGTTCTTTCGACAACTTGATATTCTAACGATGTATATCGTTGAACTGGTTTATCAAAGTCAATAACAATTTGATCGCTATCAATAACAGCATATTTTGTCAGATCGTATCTTTTTTCTACAAATGAATTTTTGATAAATTCATGAACTTTTTCTAATTTACGAAGAGAAAAAGATGGTTTGACGTTTTCATCAAAAAATTTCAATGAGAACTTTTGTACTTTTGTTACTTGTGTTCCAGCAGATGATGCTTCCTGTGCTTGTTGTTGTCTTTCGATTATTTTTCTGATTAATGAACAAGACGATAGTGGAACAGATTTGAGACGTATTTCAAACAATGACAAATATTTTTGAGGTTGTAAATCAATATTTCTCACGGTGGTGTTAGACTGATTATTTGTTACTGGATGATCGTGTGATTCAGTTGTCACAGTATCCAAATCTATCTTATTAGAATTATCATCCGTGGTTGTTTGAATATCAAGATGACCAAATTTACGAAATATTGTGGGTTTGTCATTCCAATCAATTAAATTTGCTGCATCTGATGGTGATAATATTGGCTGATGTTGTTGTTCGTTTTCTTCTTCGTTTAAATATTGCTGAAAACGATTTTTTACTACATGCTGATGTTGATGTTCAGGAACAAATGATTCATTCCACAATTCCATCGGATTTCTGACTTGTTTTTCTTCTACATTTATTAATTTTTCTTGCAAATTTGATCGTTGTTTAGTAAGTAAAATGCTAACGTATAAATAGTTTTCACATTTAATTTCACGTGGTATTAGATTTAATAAAGGATTTTCTATTCCCAATACGTTACATGTTTCAGTCAACGATTGTCCTGATTGTCGTTGTAAAAAGTATTCAATTTGTTTCCAATCATTTAATAATTCTGTTATTGTTTGAATACATGATTTGATTTTATCGGTGGTTTCGCAATCAGCAGTAATTATATTCATTGAAAACATTTCATTTAATTCATCATTTAATTGTTGTTGTATTGGTATGCGTAAAAGTTGGGGTGTATCGGCGAACAAATGTTGAAATGCGCCTGTGTTTTTTTCATAAAGCTCTCGTACAAAATTAATATGACATAATTGAAAATCTTTAATATCCATCTGTTCTAATTGATTTATTTCATTTTCTTCCGATGAATAACGTTCAAGAAATTCTCGAACATACATTTTAGATAAATTCAATTGACTATCGTGTTTCAGTTGATCTTCCACCATTAATGATATACGTTTAATAATATTGAGACTGTCATATAGTTTATCTAACATCATATCCGGTAAATGATTCCATTGTGTTTCGAGTTCATTATGGCTTAATGGAATAGAATATTCTTCGCCAAGATTATAAATTTCATTTGATCTTACTGCACATGGTTTTTTACGTATATGACATCGATATTTCGTACGAATATGATTATAATCGATACGTGTTGATAATAAATATGTACGAATAACATAAGATTGTACATATCGATAATCGAAATTCAACTGAGAATCAACTATTTGAAAATATTCATTATCATCAGTGGGTATTAAACTTGCTTTAGCTAGTTGTTCAATACACAAAAAATCATTGCTATCCAGTGAGATGACACCGTTTTTATCACGAGATATTTGAATAATGGACACTTTTTTTGACGATAAATCATTCACTAAATTTCTCATCATGACACTGTCTTGTAAATCCACGTTATCATTGAACTCTTTTTGTATTACATTTAGTAAATCATTGTGAAATTCAATAAGAACGCTAAAAGAAAACAAACAGCTATAGAATGTTTGATAGGTATAAGAGACGATTCATGCGTGCTAGAGATATCGTTCATAACATGGTCAGACACTATTCTTCAATATAAGTGTGCTTCTCGTATTCTCTATCAAAAGTTATGTGAATATCCAGGTGTTTAGATCTTACGACTCTTTCGTTCTCGAATTGTCGGCTATCGTAAAGAAATGTCGTATAATATATGTATATTGTATCGTATGTCATATGGGTAGGACTCACCATAGTGCTTGAAAGTTCAATGGATACTGAGTCGAACGGTAAGTCTCGAAAATCTGGAAAAAGTATTCCTGGATCGGAGTACAAACGAATTTTTTAATGATACTGTTTTCTTTGAACACCTGAATCAGTATATACATGAGTGATTCTGGTTAATTTGGTACCGTTTCACTGAAATTGATGGCCTCAAGCTGTTCTTCCTCTAAACTTAGTGAAACTCTTTCAAATTTTATATAAATATTCTACGACATCATGTCTATATCTACCGCTAATATCTCTTTCATACTCATAACCATTGACGTACAGTAAACATAATCATATGTTTTTTGTCGTTATTTTCATGGTGGCTCTCATGTGTTCTCTTTCGGAAAATTATTTTTTCTTCATTCTTTTGCTGTAGAATTACATAGTTTTTTTGTTTCTTATAGCATTTTGTTGACTCTATTTAATTATGCTATGATCTGTCTGTTCACTTGCTTCGTTTTTGTAGATGTTAATTTCAAATGCGTGGTTCTGGAAAGTTCATTTAAATTGTTCCGTCACCACCTAGGCACTCTGGAGACCTTGTAAGGACTTTGATTTTCATTTTGTTGACGGCAATAAATAAGCACAGATATACGATAGACATCAGTGGGCAACTAGAGGTTTCAATTCCTCTTCTTTCGGCAGTAGTAGACAAAGTACTATCTGAGACTGACGTTTGATCGAACTTTGTCCCGTTTTTAAAAATTTTAATGAAAGTTTTTTTAATAAAACTCCGATATCTCCCGTTCCCACCTATCCTATACCCTGCCTCTACTAATTTAATCTAATCTTGCTTCTCTTAAGGGACCCAACTTAGTTTCATAGATAGTAAGGTTTTCTCTTAATCGTCTTTCACTAAATAATCAAGCATCCGATAATTTCTATGAAGAAAAAAGCTATGGGCGTGAGCTGTGTATGATGCTAGATCGAGTGTTTTTTTAATTCAGGGAAACAAAGAAAAGGTTGTTTGCAGACCCATTTTTTCTAAGACTGGTAAGCACCTACTACCAATTTACAGTACCAAAATCTTCGAGCGTTTACTTTTTTTTGGGGTCAAATTTTGAAAAAAACCGGTACCAAATTAATCAGAATCACTCACATAGATGCAGTTATTTATGCCATGATGTTTATTTTTCTTAGATGTTCTATTCTCAAACTTGATTTACAGCCATATTGCTACTCTTTTTGGCCTAGTTGGTCCCTTTGCATTGAACCTTCAAGCAGTATGGTAAGTCCTATCTATAAGACATACGATACAATATACATATATTATACGACATTTCTTTACGATAGCCGACAATTCGAGAACGAAAGAGTCGTAAGATCTAAACACCTGGATATTTACATAACTTTTGATAGAGAATATGAGAAGCACACTTATATTGAAGAATAGTGTCTGACCATGTTATGAACGATATTTTTTGTACGCATGAATTCTGTTTAAAGACCTCAAGAAATTCAAAGTATGACAAAACTCGTAGCAAATGTTCTACACTGGTTCTATAGCCAAAGAATCCGATTAGTATGAACTTTGTGCTGCAACCTTCTAAAACTTTTATGCATACCTTAATATACGCCATATAATATCTCCTTCGTCATGACTATCACCTGTTACCAGATAACTAAGTGGTGTATCACTAGTAATCGATGTAAAACGTTCTCTCAAATCACATGCACCAGGCTGTATCAGACCGTTTGTAAACAAATGATAACTATTTACAGCTTTAATTCCATTTTCAATAATCGTCCAGTATACATCAGAATTATTCGTTCGTCTATGATGTTTTTTTCCAATATTGTATAATTCTTTCAACGTTATTGATATAAATTGTTCTGTTTCAATCAATTGAGCATACGTCTGATGTAATAGAATATAAAATTGACTTAAATCATAGATGAGTACGGTCATTTTTAGAAAATCTCTTGAATCCAATACATGATGAAGAATTGTTAATGATAAATTAACATTTTGTGGATTATGTAATTCAATGATAAAATGTGGATATTGAACATGTAACGGAATATTCGACACAAATTGCTGCAGATTTAATTGAATTTCCGATTGTAAACGCAAATTGTTGATATATGCTTTGTATGATGGTAATTGTTGATGTACGCGATAGAATACTAAACTTTGAAATTCTTGTTCAGCTTTTAATTCTTCATCTAATTTTACATAAAGAGGTTTTATCCATGAATTTTGCACTTGATTCAATGTTAAAAATGCAAATTGTTCAAAACATCGATTTAGAATAATCGATGCATCTTCCCTATTCGATCGTATCGATAAATGATCCATTGATGCAAACAATCTGGCACGAACAAAATGACAAACACGTGTGCGTTCTGTATGACCAGCAATGCGGCACACAACATCAGTATTATCAACAGCATGTTTAGCAAGAATTGGTCCATATAAATTAGCAACAGAATTTTCAAACAATAGCAAATGCCAGACCATTGCTCCAAATGTTGCAAAGTAAGCAACATACACTGCTGGTACATTTAATGATTGAGCTGTTCCCTTGTTCGCAAATTGTAACAGATCACCATTTTCTGTTAATATACATCCACAGTCATAATGCACTCCGTTTGCTCGAATTACCTGTTGAGCAGTTGATCCAAAACCTAAATCCAAAATATAATGTCAGAAAAAATCTAAGTTTAAATTTCAAGTTTAACTATTCATATACCGAATGTATTTTCTAATGATAATGGTTGAAATGCAAACGACCAAAGAAAATTATTTTTTCCACCTAGTAAAATCATTGCCATTAAATTAATAAGTGAATGTCGAATTGATAATTCATCACTGCATTTAGCATTAAGTTGAAATAATTCATATAGAAAATTTTTTTCTGCTTCCATGAGTATATTATAACCAATCATAAATTGCTCAGGTTTTAATATTGCACGAAAAACACGCATCTCTTCTGTCGATAACTGTAATGCATTATCAATTGTTTCGAGTAACATATTTAACAATGCTAATTGATTATTACAATAATAATTGTAATAAATTTTTAGTAATAATAACGTTTTTATTTCATTTAATTCTAACAGAGGTGGATTTGAATTTAATTGTACTTGTATCCATTCTGCTAGTGGATTCCATCGTTGTTGAGTATTGTCTTGCACGCACACATCAAATATTTGACTTAAATTTTTGTACGGCTGATGTAGTTTTGGAAAAATAGTCGTTTCATCAACATTAGAGGACAATGTAAATTGTAATTGATCACATAATTGTAAATAATTATTTTGTTGTGGATTTTGTCTTATTTCTAAGAGATGACAAAGATGTGTTGACCATGTATCATTCACTCTTTGAAAAAATTCTAATTTTAACATATTTAATAAATAGTTCCAACTTCGTTTCATTATAATTGTCGATAGAAATAACTTCATGTTGTCAGTCAAGCGATTCTGTTGTTGATCAAAGGGTAAATATGTTTGAATAATACTTTGAATTAATCGGCAGCACTGAGCTGAATACTCATCATATTTTTCATCACATAGCAACAAAGCTAAAATAGAGTAACTTTTGACGATTATCACGAATTCACTTCTGTCATTTGGTCCGTCTTGAACGGATCTCTACCATGTATGGTATCTGCAAGATGGAATTTCTCTCTTCGTAATTTCGCGTAGAAAGTGTAAAAACGCGCATTTTTATAGTAAGTTTTTAGAGCTAGCAATTCAATTTTCGTACAGTTAAGGAGGATTTTTGAGTTTTGTAATAAAGTAAGCTATTTTATATCATATCTGGTACTGTTAGCTGTTTCTGTCTATTGTACAATCTAGCGCTGCTACAATATATGTAGCTCAAAACTGATAGAGAATCTCGAGACCTGTCCAAGAAAGACCGAAGGACAGAAATAGATTCGTATTAACCTTCAAAAGTTACTGTAGAAAATTATGTTTCGGCGAAAAACCGATTAAATAGATGCAAAAGTATCGTCATCAGTTGTTTCATATATTTGTATCATACCTGTCCCACGAATTAATAAGTAATCTTTGATTAATCTATACAAGTTTTCTACAACAGCAACTAAGCTTTTCTTTTTTATTGTCGATGTTGTTGGCTTTAATAGCATGATGTTGTTCAAAAATTCATATTTAATTACTTCATCATCGAGACGATTTCTTATATGAAAGAAGAACAAATCAATCAGTGTATATTCGTCTCTGTCATCAGCATTGGTTATAACAAAAGGATGATAAGGTAATACATATTGAAAATCTTTCGTAATTTTATCTGGAAGACGTTGTACTACAAAGGGTAATAAAACTTTTATTAGACTCAATGTGTCTGCTCTTGGTTTTTTATGTTCTCTTAATTTTTTCTGTTTTTGTTCCATGATAATGTTTGCTAATTGATCAAACAGAAATTGTTTCATTGGTAATTGTAACTGACGTGTTTCATTTAAATATTTTAATAAATAATCTATTTGTTCTTGAACATCATCAATGCTTGTTGTTTTTAATATCGATATAATCCATTGTTGTACATCAATCATTAGCGTTGAACAATTACAATTTTTTTCATCGAAATACTCATTAATTAACTCAATTATACTAGATAATATTGATAAACAACTGTTTGGCCCAACGTCTATGGCATTTTCATTTAAAAGGTAGGCAACAAGTACAATTGGAGTTGGAGTTTTTTCATTCATTAATATCAAATATGATAAATGCATAAAGTCAATTTTAAATCGAATTGTTTGTAACTGAACACAATGTAACACATTTTGAGATGGATAATATTTCGATATAAACGTGTACGTTTGAATCCACGTCATTAATGATAATTCATCTTTTATCTCACATAAGTGGCATAGTTTTGACCATAAACAATCGAACATTAAACGAAATATATTTTCACGAAATTGTGATCGACCGTGACTATTATTGTCAGCATTGATACCCACTTCATCTGCAATTATACTACGATAATCTTGATTTGGATTTAATTGATCAAGTATTCGACATGCTGAATAAAGCGATAATAGATCATTTCTATCGTATTCGAACGATGTATAAACGTGACATAATAACCAAACATCTTTATGTATACTATTGCTGTATTCGTTTCGCTCATTTTCATCCAATAATTGTAACCATTGTGATATAAATTCAATCGTTTTGGAACACTTTTCTATATCAACGTCAATGGCTTCAACAATTGTACAGAATGTACGTACAAGATCTTGGGAATATGTGTTTATTAAACGTTGTTTAAGTTCATTTATTATATCTTTCAGTATGTTATCATTCACAACTGCTCGACACAATTCATTACGAAATATTTCATTTACATTCAGATTTTCATCAATAAAATAGTCATTCTCATTTGTTGTTACGCGATTATAATCTTCATTATTCATATTCTTCTCATTTATTCCTATAATACATATAATAGTGTTACTGTGATGTTAATAATATGAGAAATATATAAATTCTTTTACCAACGTACCTGATTCTTGATTTAGTTTAAGTAATGTTGCTAATTTAATATCGTCAGCATGAGTTTTAATTCGTTGATGAAATAAATGATACAATGGTGTTAACGGAACACATGAATAATGTGTGATAATTTGAAATAAATCTTGATTTGGTGCTGAAGTTCCAAGATCTAACGAATCATCTCCGAACGACGAATAGTCAATCAAATTCAACATTATTTCATAGCCACGTGATGATTTTTTTGATCGCATTTCATCATTTTTAGATGATGTTTGTGACAGTATGTCTAAACCATAATCGTTCACAACAGATCTCAAGATATTAGCCACAAAATTTGTAAATGTTGATTGCACTTGTGTCTGAATTGAATCCACGAGGCCTTCGAAACGTTGACCACATAGTATTTGTTTAGCTGTTTGATAAATTATATTGTACAATTTATGATTATTTTTAGAAAGACGTTCATGATAAGCGTTGACAATTCGTTGCTGCAATTCAGTACAGCTTTTCATTATTTGTTTCAAACAGTGAACACGTTTAGCAATGGATGTATGACGTGCATAAAAATCACGAGCATATTGGTTTTCAAAAGCATTTGGAGATAAATCCTGAAGAATAAACTGCAAACGAGAACAGAATGACCATAGTGATTCGTCGAACAATACATTTAAATCACATAATACATCAGTATTGTCCGTATCCGATTGATGATAAGAAGCACACAATAATTCGAGTATTTTTTTTAGATGGAACGAATTTCCAGCTTTCGATGTATCAAAAAAGTAAAAGTCCCAATCATGCAAAAATATTGACGGATAACAAGAATGATGGTAAAGCTCTTGAGCTGGTGAATGAAGTAACATGATAAAATATTTACGTATAAAACGTTTTTTTTGTGTTACAGGTTGTTGCTGCTGATGACGGTGAAACATGGCAAAGTTTCCTTGTCTGTTGTTAACAGGAGCCGCCGAGATCGCCTGTTGAAGTGATTTTTCTAATATATTGTGATTATATTCTGTTCTATCTACTAACTGACGAACAAATGAAATATGTGCACGTTGTTGACCAATTTTACCATCAATAACGATAATTAAAACGTTTTTATTATCATCTTGTTCAAATAATGTAAATGCTTCTTCTACCGATGTTCTATAATGAAAGAAATTTGCTTTAAGGAACCTCTCCCTGGAGAAGACTCCATACATTTAATGATCATTTTGAATAACCTTCAATGGTTGTAACCTATTATATGATCCGATTATGGCAAACGTTCCAGTTCGAGATACTCATTCCTTGATCAGTCATAGGTATCACACTTGATAAAGAAGACTGTTGTGTACAGTACTCTTCTGTGAAGACGCATGATAGCCACAGATCCGCTGATAGCTTCTAACGAAAACAGACATTTAAACGAAGCAATTCACCTGAGGATTTTAGAAACGCATCTGTGTTACTTTTTTTCATGTATTTTAATCAGAAATATTAAAAAACACCTCTTTGTTCTGATCGTATGATGCGGTTGGTTCGCTCTGAAGTCATATAATCACCATTGAAAAATCGCTTCCGTTATTCTTCTTAGCTTTCAAACAGAAATAAAGGCTCATTTAACCGACCACGTGGAACAGAAAAATATATCTTATTAAACGAATATAGCTCTAAAACCACTAATGAGAAACATGCTGTGTATGCATTGAAACATTTTAGACCTACTATCGGCTTCAACAAGCAGTGCACGCGGATGTTTTGTTGAATACGTTTTTAACGGTAAAAGATAGAGACTTGCAAGTTTCTCTATTTGAAAGAGAAGACTTGAGGCAATCGATCTGTAAAAAGAACTGTTCAGAACTACCACCTACAGGGCATTAGTGTGGACAAAGTGTCTAAAGACGAATTGACGAATCGCAATTTTTGGGCGTAAAAATGATGCAACAATTCGCATTTTACCATTGTTTTGCGAATTCGCAGCGAATTCGTAATTCAGTGCGAACTGATGCGAACTAACAAAAATGAGCAAAACCGAACCAAAAAATTGCGTCTTTTCTTCCTTTTGCCTATTCGTAAATTAGGACGAATTCGTAAGAAACAAATTTCCGGTACCTACGAATTCGTAAATCGAA